AACCATGGCCTTAAACACTCCTTAGTTGAATCACATGTGATTCCAACACTTGACCAAAGTGTTTCCTAGTCCCGTGAGGTGATTCTTTGCATTTGATTGCCTCCGAGCACTATATTTATGTCAATACATGCCAATGTATGTCATTTAGGACTTGTTGTTTCTCGGGACTTCACTCCTGGAACTTCTCATCCTTACATTCGTATCCGTTGAATCACCCACATCAGGTGAGTTCATACCCCGAAATGAATCTTTCAACTGTTTTAAATGTTTTAGGGGGGGATACAAGTTGAACACAATGTTAATTGTGTAATTGTTTGTTATAAACATTTTCAAAAGGATTACTTATGTCATTCATAAGTTATCAAAACATTTCAAGAACTCTTTTAAAGTTATGTTACTTTATAGTTTTACCAAAACTCCGTTTTAAAGTGCAAGCATAACTTAGTAGATAAAAGAGTCTTTTCAACAACAGTTCAAGTACATTACTAGTAAACTATAATAGGTATAGTTTAGAGCCAGTTCATACACGAGTCAGAACACACTATTATGAGAAACAATACACACTATACACTATACAAGAGAGTATATTATACACTAGTACAGAGTGAACATTACTACACTATACAAACATTTGAATACTATAAATAGAATGTGACATGCTACTTTTCGATACGACACACATTCTTGTATCACCTTGTAACCAGAGTCTCCTGGAGGGAGAGCGGGCATTGTGTGTATAGATCTATATGGGATAGACACTCCCACACCCCGACTACTAGCTACAGTCCCAGCCTATAAGGCCAAGGGGTGACAGAATGTTACTTCACTACATATGACACCAGAGGGTCATCAGTTATTCAGCCGTCGATCAGCATGGTTACATACGAGTTCACATTCAAACCTTTAATTAACTAACTAAGAATTAAAGGCAAATAGACTCCCCGAGGTGTATTGTCCATTTAATACTACCTGGATTCTGTATTTTATTACTTTATAGCCAGCAGTGTCACTGTTGAGGTAAAACATTATTTTCCCTATTACATTGACTTTTAGGTCTTCTCATACATTCATTAATGTATAAACTATAATTAGTTAATGAGAGTCTCACTCGGGAAAATGCACACTCACACAAGAAACAAACATACATAGTGATGCCTTGGTAGAAGGCTACGTTTAGTAGGAAGGACCATAATGCTAACCTTATGATTCCTTAATGTATACATCAAAGGATACTTATATATCAATAGAATCCGACAGGTAATAGGATGTGTGCTTTCCGTTTCATTTCATGTTCCTTGTTTGGTTGTGGGCTTGAGACAGATTCACCCAGCCTATTATCTATTCGAGTCTAGATATATAGGTTCCGTCTACATTAAGTCATCATAGGGGTACCAGGTATGGGCCAAGTCATAGGACACAGAGCCAATGCACAGTTTTCTAGTACAAAACATACTATACGAATCATAACGTTTGGTTTACAAAACTAGAAACTTACTAGTTAATGGTTTAATCCATTTTATTAAACCAGTATAAACTTAGAGGACCTTAGGTGATTAACTTTATAATACTTAGTTTATACATCATGGTTATACATCATTAATACCCAATAGGTTGTTGGATGTATATTTTCCACCTTACTTCCTGTTCCTTGTTTGGTTGTGGGCTTAGGGCAGATTCACCCAACTAACAATCTAATCGATATTAGATTATATATAGCCAGTATAAACTAAGTGATTATAGAAATAATCACTGTGGTCACCAATTTATTATAAGAAATAAGGGTTTTCCTAAAGAATCTTTTCATCAAACATAAAGGAACTATTACAGTTAACTCCGTGAGTACCAAGGGAATACACTAGGGTTATATACAACAAGGATCTAACAACCAATGGGATGTGTGTCATCTGCCTCATTTCATGTTCCTTGTTTGGTTGTGGACTTAGGGCAGATACACACAATCGATTGTTTGTTTACTCTGAGTTTTATATAACTTGTATCCATTTAGTACACATAGAAAGGATTGTAGAGTCATTTTCACTCATCTATCACCAAGGCATGAAATATAGGATTTCCTGGAGGAACAGGTGAACTTTTCTAAACAGAACTTACAACTTACTACATTTTTCATCTACATTTTCAACAGCAGTTTACCACAACATTTTACAACTTACTTACATCACTAAAATCTTATGAACTCACCAGCTTAATTGCTGATCAACCCTTTCAAATAACTTGTATTCTCAGGAGCCTAGTAGACAGGTACTCGCACTGGGATTCAAAAGATGGAGCAGTATAGCTTCAAGTCTTGTTTGTTATTTGCTTATGTATTCTATGTTTTGTAAACACACCCTTTGTAAACACTTTTTTTCTAATGAAATGGTTGTTCGTTACTTTGCTTACTATGATACGTGTCTTGTGATACTAAACGTGACGTCCTCCACCCAAAAACGTTTCCGCCGTTCCGGTTTTGGGGTGTATATATGAACTCAGAGATAATTATTACTCTAATTTCAGAATGTGGTGATGTTAACTACTAAATATATATTCATATCCTGAGGGTTGAGTTCATTAATTACTAGATTCGTTGGGCTCGAAGCATCAAAATTATGGTTCCATATTTGCTTTGATCGAAATACTTGTTGTTTGTTCTAACAATTTATTTTATGAAGAAAACTTGATATTTGAGTGTTAATATGACCATATTTTTATTCATATTTGTTCATTATGCGTTATTTGATTTGAAAAAAAAAACAAATAAGTTGTGTATTAGATATTATACTGCATCAATAACCCTTTTGTACTTGGTCAAAAAGTAAAACATCTAAAAAAATTTCAACTTTTATTTTAGAAACTCAATCCCTGTATGATATAAATTCTTAATTATGTGTATTTAAATACTTCGCTCTGTAAGTGAGTTTATACCGCTCTTCAAAGTTAAATCTCATACACGATATGATAGATATATAATGACATATGTGTAATTGAGTTTTCTTGAGTCTATTAGATATTCTCCTGACTTGTTTGATTACTTTATTTGCTAGTCTTTTTCCTGACTTGTTGTATTACTTTATTCTTTTGTTATTAATTACATTAATTTGATTGATTTTCAGGGGCAATTAAGTCAAAAGCCACCTCGACAGATACTAAATCTGAGATATCATCAAATGGGCAGAATGGGAAAGTGAATATTGCAAGGAAACCACCAATACAAATCCGGGAAACTTCTAATAGTGTCATAACGCTTGATGGATCTACTGAATGTAGTGTTAAGACATTAAAGAAACGAGCGATTGCCTTAAGCATGGATCATTAAGCAGAGCAACAGGAAGTACAAATATGAATAATCAATCAAGGTTAATTAATCTTTGACTCGTCTTTTAAGTAACGTAATATATTATATATGGCATATATTATATATATTTTTGACATTTTGAACTTTTTGTGCAGTCGATCACATACAATTTTCACAATCACATTGGAACAAATGAACAAGACAATCTCGAATGATTCTATGTGTGATGAATATTTTTGTGCCAAATTGCATTTAGTTGATCTTGCTGGCTCAGAAAGGGCTAAAAGAACAGGTTCTGATGGTATGCGGTTCAAAGAAGATAGGTGATGATATTTATCACATATCTTTAAGACAAAAATTCCAATTTGGCCCCACTCAAAAAGATGAGCTAGGGTTGTATTGTGTCTGATCTACATTGGACTGGAATTGATACTGATGTCAATGGGACAAAAATTGTAATTTTTTGTCCCACTCAAAAAAGTGGGACAGAGTTGTACTGTGTTTGGTGTGTACTGGACCGAAACAAGGATCTAATGGACAAAAGTTACAGTTTTTGTCCCCCACAAAAGACATAAATGCCCTCATCCTTATTATTGGAAAATGGAAATAACATGCCTGATAATTTTGTTTATTATTTAAAATCTTTGGTACTAAGTAAACATATAATTGTTCCTAATTTCATCTTGTGTTAGTCCTACTGATATAAATGCTGAGGAGACTCTCAACACTTTAAAGTATGCAAACAGGACTCGAAATATACAGAATAAGCCTGTGGTAAGTTTGAGTTATATGCTAGAAATAGCAACCTGCTTTCATTTATTTGCTTATTATAGAAAAAATATTAAAGTGAGATGCTATAATACACAAATAAATCATTACTTTTTTACAAGGGATCTCTATCAATAATGCAATTACACAACTTCTTAAAAAGATGGTGTTATTCAACCATGGCTAACCAATAAAATGTTGACTGCTATGATATATAAGCTTTCATGTTAAAACTAGAACAGTTTGTAGAAAATCGCTTAGTGATAACTAAGCATAATATTCTGATCAAACATTCAAAGATACAGAAATCAAATAAGAATATCTCCCCATGCAAAAGTTCCATTCTACTTGTACGGATGCCTTTGATTTTATTGTCTATAGTATATGCTTTTATGATCACCACTGATACGCATATATATCTTTTCTCTACATATTTGCTTTTCCTAGGCTTTTAGTCTGGAGAATTAAGCTGTTGAGGCATATTGGTATGGTATAGAGGGTTGCCCAAATTGGTTAATCGAGGTACTTTCTCCACAAATAGCAGATGCTCTCAGATAAATATACTATATGAAATTACCATATTACCCTTCTCAGTAGGCTTGCAATGGAGTCAAGGACTATTCCTGAAGTTCTTACACACACACACAAAAAAATAAATAAATCAAATAAGTGATATTAAGATTGATGATATAAAAGGATGTCATGATCACCTTCGGAATATTATTATATCAATTTGCAATCTTGCTCCAGTGGCTTTTCGTTTAAGATTAGTGTCAAAATTAACAACCAAATACCACTTGAATGTATTGATCTATCTTTTCCCTCCTTTTTTGTTCTCTAGTCTAGCTATATATAGCATCCATGGCATTTTAAGTTCCTCAAATCAAAGCCTCTTACCTCCATCCCCATAAACATATCATAGTGTTATCCAGCAGTAGCAATGGTCATTCTGAAAAGACTGGTAACCAACAAGGCTGTGGTTATATTCAGCAAGAGCTCTTGCTGTATATGCCACAACATTAGGACACTGATATGCAGCTTCGGGGCAAATCCTACTGTTTATGAGCTTGATGAACACCCAGATGGTCAAATAATCGAGAGGGAACTCAAAGCCTTAGGGTGTAAACCATGTACCCCAACCGTTTTTATAGGCCAGGAGCTGATTGGTGGAGCCAATGAGATGGTCAAATATTTATTTATTATTTTTTAATCTTTTTTTATTGTGGATGCTATTTGGTGAATTCAGGCACTTGTTGCAAAAATATATAATAATCAACTAGGTATGCCTTGCTTTTTGATTAATTTATTGCAGGTTGTCATTCAGTTATCTAATAGACTAATACTAATTTGTCTGACTAGTTTTATTTATTTATTTATTTATTTATTTATTTATTTATTTCTCCTTACCTATTGTCCTTTGTAAGAAATGGACAAATAAATATTATAAAATGTATATTTATGTATGCAGGATGTTATGATTAAGTTATTTGTGTATCAAGCACCTAGTTCAAGGTCATTCTTTACTGAGATAATAGCCTCTATTTCAGATATAAAATTTGGAAGAGATGGAAGATATATTCTAAGTCGTGATTACATGACCCTTAAGGTTTCTGATTTGTTCCTCTTCTGTTGTATTATATACTTTCTACCATGTCCATTTAAAAACCAACTCATCCAGCATTTATTTTTCTATAACATATAAAATCAGTTATATGGGTGCTTTTTTGTGTTGTGCAGTTATGGGACATCAACATGGACTCTGGTCCAGTTTCAACATTTCAGGTCCATGAATATTTAAGACCTAAGGTATACTTACTGTTCCTGTATTTTTTTTATTAGCATGGAATCGAGATAAGTGATGTATGTAGTATGTATGTCCAGCTATGTGATTTATATGAAAACGATTCTATTTTCGATAAATTTGAATGCTATATGATAATACTAATAATAATAATAATAATGTATCTTCTGAGTATGACTAGAGAGTGGATTAATGTGTTTTTGGTGTAGGTGGTGGAGCTTGATTTTCTATATCCAAGTGAGGGGATCCATATAAGATGGGATAATGGTCACTGTATTACATCAAAAGCTGCAACTTGGGATCTATATGTTGTCACAGGCTGCAAGAGATGTTGGAGCCCTTAGAGAAGCTAAGGACAAACTAGAGAAGTGAGTTGAAGAGCTAACATGGATATTAGACTTTGAAAAGCATTTGAGGGTATATTTTTTTATATTTCTTGTATCTAATTAGTTTGTAAATTTTTGTTACAACTTCTATTGATTTGTTTTATCTTTCCATGGAACCATTATTTGTATGACATTAAATTTTATGCAATGGATTGTATTTTTTGTATATGATATTTTATTTTCTATTATGAGATTAAATACAAATTTAATATGAAAATTAGTAAATCTATAAATAATATTTTTTTAAACATTTGAAATTATGATACGCAAAAATGTGTGTCATCTTCATTTATGACATGACCTTTCTTGACAGGGGCTTTAATGATACGCAATGCGAGTCGTAAATGCGTGTCGTAAGATTATGACAAGCAAATGCGTGTCATCTTCCTTTAGGACATGACCTTCCTTGATACGCAATGCGTGTCGTAAACGCGCGCCGTAAATGTGTGTCGTAATTGTGCGTCGTAAATAGACGACGCGCAAAAGAGTGTCGTCTCTTGTTATGATAGGGCATTCCTTGACACGCATTTGCGCGTCGTCTGAGCGTTTTACGAAACGCATTGCGCGTCGTAAAAGGCTATTTTTCTAGTGGTGAAGCATACTAATAACCAGCCAATAACAAAATACAGATCTTACAGATCTCTAAGCATAGCATCATCCTATCTACCAGGATATAGATCTAACAAATCATTAAAGTACTCAATCATACGATAAACCAGGATAACAATCCAAAGGGCCAGCTTTGGTGCCTTCGACCCGTAAGTACAGTGAGGAAAACTCACCTCGCAAGTTGAACAGAAGATAAGGTCCGACTCAGAGTCTCATCTCTCTAACCGATACCTAATTCCATAAAATAACCAATTCCATCAAAATCCCAAAATACCCTCAAGGTCAAACTTGGTCACACTTGATCAAAGTCAAAGTCAAAGTCCATTGGTCAAACCCACTAAGCCAAAATAAGTCAACCCGGTCGAATTAACTCAACCGAGTCACTCACAAAGCTGACCCATGCGAGTATGCAGGGCGTACCCTGGAGGTACGCTTAGCATCCGATAAGCCTCGCATTGACCACCATCGGGGTGGTTGAGCGAGTACATGGGGCGTACTCCCACTTACGCGGGGCGTAACCTCGCAACCCCAAATCTTCATTAAGTGCTTTATGGCTTAAGCACTCAAGCCCATTTTTCAGATCCACGACTAATACACACCCTAGATTATAAAAGTTTCCAACTTTATGACTTTACACGCCTAATAAGAGCTTAACACAAGGTCTTAATCCATTAAGACCTCCTACAAGATGCATGGAGCAAAACCAACCACATGGACTTCATTTTTATGGCTAAGGACCCTTCTTAGGGTCTGAAAGGACAACTCAAAACGTCCAGAACATGCCATGCTCAAGATGATACTTTTGGGACCAAAAAGATGACATAAAACCCCCATATAGATCTACAAAATTAAGAGACAAATGTGCAAGCTTTATACCTTCAAAGGCTTGCAAATGAAAGATAAATCCCAGATCTAAAGTGCCTCTTTCTCCAAGTTGAGCTTGATCTTCTTGTTTCCTCTTCAAATCACACAAACACACTCTTTAATGCTTGAAATGTCCTCACAAGGTGCTTCTAGGGTTTCAAATCATGAAGAGAGGGTAGAGGTTGGTTAGGTGAAGAGAAATGAGGCCATAAAGATGCTTAAATACCACCCAAACCCTAAAAATTAGGGTTTCCATCTTTCTTTAGTATGCCCCGCATACATGAGTGTACGCCCAGCGTACTAGGGTGCGCCATAGTACGCTTAGCGTACTCCTCCTGCCCAAATTACAAGAATGCCACTAGGGATTCAAGGCACATTCTCTTGGAATTAGGGACTAAAATGTCATATAATAAACTTAAAGGGATAAATTTAGAAATACCTGAACATCGGGATGTTATAGGTGTGAGACCCGTCTGGACAGAATCATTTTTATTTTATGATATGTTTTTGATCAATTCTTTGGGTATTCTGTTAGAGGCATTAGAGTACCTGTGTGAAGGTGATTTTCCTTGGTTCATAGCTCCAGATAACTTGGACTAGAGGTGAGTCATTTCTTTTGTGGTTTAAGCATGAGTTTGGAAAGATAGCATGCACCTATACTTGTGTTCTTGTCTATTTGATGATATGTGATGTTATAAGTTGAATGTTAAGGGTTGAATATAACATGGTCATATGAAGTTATTGATGATGCAACTAAATTTAGGAGTCCTTTGTATGCTAGAGTTCTTAAATTAATAATTTGTTGCAATTTGAGAGAGTAAGGTCCATGCTAGAAATGAGGACTATTTGGAGAGTTAATTGTGATGATATGCATGTTAAAAAAAAAAATTTGTCACTCTTGAATGAAACTAGGATATGCATACTAGAAGTTGATTTGTTGAAAGGTGTACCTTTTCACATACTACTTATCGATGATATGTATATTTATGTGGATATGCCTTTGATGCGTGATTGGAGATGTAGTAGCTGATAGGTTTTGTATACTACAACATCCTATGGTGCACATACAACCCTAAATGCTTTGGATCTATGTTTTCTCTAATTATACATGTAATTTTGCTTCCAAAGCATTAAGCCTACAACTAGCATATAAATGACATAAACGACATAGAAATGAGTTGTAGAATTACCTCTTTGCTGTAGCTTGTAGTTTTGGCCTTTAAGAACTTAGCACCAATAATGTGAATGCCTCAAATGGAATCGCAACACACCTTGGACAAAGGGTGACTTTTGAGAGAGAATTCCTTGCTCTAAAAACGCCTCATATGAACTCCAAGAACATCGGTCACGATTTTAGCTATGGAGCAACATATATATATATATATATATATATATATATATATTAGTCTCTTTTGATCACAAAATTAATTCCAATTTAATTCTTGATCAATACTAATTAAATCATATGATTTCATATTAATATATTAGAACTTATAATATATTAATAAATCATAAATAACCTCTTCTCAAAGATCCATCCTATCAAATTGTCCAGGTGATATGCAACCCAAATGGACCATGCTACTCTCTAGTCAAGTACATACCAATTATAGTTATGGGCTTAGACACCTAATCCAACAGTATCATACTTGGATAAGTCTAATAATTATTATTGCAAGTACGACTCCACAGCCCGACTAGCAATTGTAGCTCTTAAAAGCCGTTGTCGAACTCTGACCTAGTCAATGACGCGTCCATTAGATAAGGGATCATATATTCCTCCATTCTAGATATCATATGGACTGAGACATGAATTATAATCATTCTCTCTGTCCATCTAATGATTCCCGATTTCTGATTTATGACGACTGACTAATTGAACATATCAAATCAGTCCAGGCTTGGCAAAGCACTTAGGGGTGTCATCACTAAATCATAGAGGGGCCCATATATATCGCTTTTATCCCACTTTGGGTAAAAGGAATGGATAAATTTCGACTCAAATTCTTGCTTGTACTTACTCACCAAATTACACACAACAATATGTTTTATAATACCAAGTTACTAGTGCGTTTACATACGTCAATGTGCAACCGACTCGCAACTGCAACTCACATGTCTCCGTTTCAAGAATATAAGATATTATCGTCTCACAATCACTTGTGATAAAATCCATGAAGTGATTCAGATGAGTGTGGTTTGAATCCAATACTCGAATCTTATTCCAGGAGTACTCATAAACACTGCAGCCACCTTCTCCTAGACAAACTACAGACCCATTCATGACAGTCTTGCCTCAATACCTACTTCCAAAATATGATCGACTGTGGATGGTTTGAATAACCTAGTTATTCGGGAAGTAAAAACATGCAAAGTGAAACACAAGAATAATACTAATCCTATATCGCCCCAAAACCTATGAGTGTCATATTGATTACTCATTATTCATTATATAATGTTTCGAATAATCAACTCAATACTTGAATTAAACAATAGTTATGTCATGCTCCAAGCATGAACACTATGTTTGTCTATGGTCCTGACTTTGTGAAATAGATCAATCGTAAGCATTTCAATGACACTCATTTCACAATTCCAAATCTTTATTGCATGTGTAAGAATTCCAAATTCTTGTCATTGCTAAACTTTCATGTAATGCAACCTTTGTAATGTCATGGTATGAAAAGTCATAAAGACTTGACCAACGATATTACAAAATTTTCCACTGGAAATTAATAACAAAGCAATTCCAAGGAAGCGAAGTCTCAAATTCAAAGTACATTCCTTTGAACATCCTTCTTGCATTAAGTTTCCTAATCTTACACAGATTTAAAGAATAACTTCCACTTATGGAAACATTTACATATTCCCATTTTAACTATCACTTCTGAACAAGAGTTACCTCTTCTCAGAGTATGTCAATATGGTCCTTTCCAAAATTTTAAATGTACTTCCAATTGTCCATGAGCAACCAATCTTTGGTAAACCTCAGATTGTCCTCGACAATTACTTAACCATTTTAGTCATATACGGCTCTATTCCTTTTTCTCTCTTAATGCCCTAGGCATTTGGAAAAATTAGAACACGAGAATATTATAGCATATGCAATCGATCCTATTCCCGAAGCATATGGGATGCAATTCATAATGTCTAACATAAAGACATGATACTTGATCAGTCTTTTGTTATAATATTTCTATTTGCCATGTTCTCATAATTTTGATTATGAAGAGGGATTCCGCAATCATAATCAAATTTTGAGAACGCTATTAACATTTCCATATATATATATATATATATATATATATATATATATATATATATATATATATATATATATATATATATAT